CAAAGTATATGTACATGCATATAATTCTTTTAAAGTTACCCTGTGTAAAGAGTTATCATATTGATAAATATTTTTTAATTTGCTGCTAAAAATCTATTAAGATTACTGTTATTTTCTCAAATTTCAATAATCCAATGCCTTTTACTAATGTAAATATAGTGCTACCAAAGGCGGATCCAGGGGGCCATGAGGGCCCGCCCCCTCCTTTCATTGGAAACATTTGGTTGATTACATATGGAATCTCTGAAGCATGAATGTAGCGGGCATCTCTTAAGGCAGTCAGTGGTACCCCTGATATGACAATTGTCTAGATGATATATTTTCCACCTGCTGCTCGTTGTAAGACCAGCAGTTATCCGCTGACCGATTTTTCGTGGGTCCTCTTAGGGAAACGGAACTTTTTGGAAAATCTCGAAAATTCCTCCCCGGCCAGAATGTCAGACAAGAAATGTGTCGGATGAATAGCAGGGACCATCGGGTCAACGGCCGACCGTACCCGCCCTTGCTTGTTACGCCCTATTTTCAGGGGCTCCCTAGTTGATCTATTGAAATTTCTGTCCTTGTCCAATTGATCCCAATTTCTAGTGATATTTCAAATTGTCTGCCTTTATCCCAGCTTTCACCTATTGAAGGACCTTTTTGATTTTTTTGATTTTTTATAACTTTTATAAAAATGATCTTCATCTAGTGCTCATCATCCAATAAAACAATATTATTCAAAACGTATAGCTTCATGTATACATGCTTTGCCATTTCAACATTGAGTTTAAGAATGAATAAGAAAAATAAACAGCTCATAATAAAGGTATTTGTTTCTTTATAGAAATGTTAGATGGTCAATTATCATTTATTTAGAGGATCAACGTCTGACTCTTTTGGTTCTATTTCTTATTGTGTTGAATTGTTTCATATTATTGACTTCAATTAATTTTTGGTCAGTAGACTAGCACAGGACCTACAATGTTCCTATTAAATTCATTGGTTTTGTTCTCTTCTGAAATATGCATGAGATGTTTGACACTGGACATAAAGCAAACCACAACTAATCGATCATTTCTTTTTTACAAAACCGTATACACTCTTTGCTATATGTATCGAAGTTCATTAAACGAATTTGTAAAAATTAGCACTTATCAGTATTTTTGCAAATGGACTGCTTGTTTCCATGGCAACACATTCAATGGCAAATATTGCATAATTGAATATATAATTTTTTAAATGATTTTATTTGTTTTTTCTAGATTTAGTCAGTGTTTTTCTTGTACACTTTTCATGATCATGAAAACAGACTGAAATTTCTTCATAATCAGCACTTTTATCCAGATTAGAGAAATTGTATTTGTTTCATTCAAGTGGTAACACCATTATCGATATACTATACCAGCAAAATTATTTATATATACACATGTGTGTATACAGTGAAACTTAATAAGTGTTTTCGTTTTCCTACTTTTGTGCACATTTAAGAAACTAACTGAAACTTTTTCAAAATTGTTTTGAACTTGTGTATCATCATGAAATTGTTTCCATAGCAACACAGTTAAAACTATAATACCATTATGTATGAATATGTTTCAAATTTTGATGATTACAATCATTTCTACAAATTGTATATTTATTTATTTTTTTCTGACTGCAGAATTAGGTTTTAAAACATTTTTTTTCAAAAAATTTCAAATTTTTTTTTTCTGAAAAAATGAAAACTAAGCATTTTGTATCCATGGTAACAAAAAAATGAGACATACTTCCCCATTACTTTTTCGCATCATTGATAAGATAAGACTAGGGTATTTATGAATTGATGGTTGACTTTAACTCAGGTGTCCGCAAAAAAATATGGTGAGCATTCAAAAATGACCTCAAAAGGGTATTTTTTACCTAATGCAAACCACATAAAAAGGGGGGTATATGTGATTATGATTGAAAATGAATATGAAAATATCAGTTATTAATAATAAATTACATTTATAAAATGCATATATTTAATAAAATCATAAAAAAAATTCTTTCTTTTAATCATTAATTATGAAAATTATGTTGAAAATAGCCATTTTCAGCTTAAAATCATAGATATCCAGAAGAGGTAAAACTGGTCATCGGTTGCTATGGCAACCGATATGCTTAGCAACCAAAATTTTGCCATTTTTTGTTTGTTTCATCAAGACTAGTAAGTGTGTGAAGTTTGAAGAAAATCCATGACCATGCGTGCCACACTCCCTATATAAAAGTTTAAATAGTTACAGAGAACCAGTATTAAACATTCTTTGGATGTTTTAGATAATTACGTGCACGTGCTTTTTGGTGGTCTTTTTGATCCAGTTGACATTTTTGACTTTTTCTGCTCTTTACACTACACTTCAACACCATCTTATCAAACAAAAAATTTCCAATTTAATTAAGTGGTCGATCGATAAATCAAATTGCAAATGTATTTGCTTCAACTCATATAAAGCCCTATTCTCAAACAAGAAATGTGAATATGCTAGATATACTTACTGGAGGTGTGTTGAGATAATTACAGCCATAAATTTTATCCTTGACAACATTTATGTACGTTTCGGCAATAAAGTATATCGACAGATTGTGGATGGGCACCAATTGTGCCTCTTTAATAGCAAACCTGTTCCCGTACTGTTATGAATCACAGTTTATTGCGAAACTCATTAAAGACCCGTCTAAATGCCATTTAATTAATAAATTCGACAACACTTACCGTTATCTTGATGATATTTTTTCGTTACATAATCAAGAATTCTCTTTATATACTGCCGAAATTTACCCACAGCAACTTTCTTTAAATAAATCAATTATTACAGCAATAGGTGTCCTTTCCTAGATTTAGATATTTCAATTTCACACGGGAACCTCTACACAAAAATTTACGACAAAAGGGATGATTTTTCTTTTCCTATTGTTAATTTTCCTCTGTAACCATCTTACGGTGTTTGTTTATCTTAACACGTCCGTTATTCCCGTATCTGTAGTGACGTTTTGGATTTCAATGAGCGTAATCTATGTATAACTGGTCAGGGATTTCGTTACCACAAATTACTTAAAACCTTTATGAAATTCTTCTATAGGTACAGAGATTTGGTTTGCAAGTTTGGCTTTACCTGTAAAAAAACTTATTTCAGACGGAATACCACATCCTAACTTTCATGGTGATGTTGTTTACCGAGCCCGGAAATTTATATACGAACCATGTAAACTGATTAATCTTTTAAATAAAATTATTCCAAAAGGTTGCCAATTCAACACTGTAATTAGATCTTTGATTAGTTTTATTGGTATAAATCTTGATTTTGTTATCAGTAAATTAAAACCATAATAATAGTTTTGTTATACACAAATGCACTTTAACGGAACTGCAATGTGTCGATCCTTTATTTTGGTATTCCACAAGGTCATTTTTTCTCTGGCTGTTAATGACGTCTTTACACTAAATCCATTGGATGTTGGATTTGTACTGATTGATATTTTAATTTTACATGATTTATTATATTAGTTGTTATTAGCTTTAAACTATCTGTCAGTAACTGTGAGTACTCTCAGATCTGTACTTAGTGTTCTTTTGTTGTTAAGGATGCGAGATTAAGAAATACCCTGCCATCTCAGGTCTGTGTTTATGTTTGATGTTTTTTCTGCTTTGTATCGAGCTGATGAGTTAGGCCTTTTTCAACTGATTTTTATAGTCTGTTCTTATGTTGTGCTCTTACACCACTGTCCAAGGTCAGGGAGAGGAGTGAGCGCTAACAAACATGTTTAACCCCGCCATATTCTTTATGTGCCTATCCATAGTCAAGAGCCTGTAATTCAGTGGTTGTCGTTGGTTCATGTTTGTCATATTTGTTTTTCGTTAATTGTTTTGTAATAAATTAGGCCATTGGTTTTCTCAATTGAATTGTGTCATATTTTTTATGTTAGGGCCTTTAATAGGCGACTATACGGTATGGGTTTTTCTCATTGTTAAAGGCCGTACGGTTGCCTATAATTGTTTACATCCACTTTATTTGGAATTTGGTGGATAGTTGTCTCATTGGAAATTACACCTCATCTTCTTATTTTTATATAGACTAAAAGTTAGCTTTATAACAGCTCTGGTCGATGTTAAATTGCAGGTAGGACTGGTTTAGAGGTACACTTCATCTCGAGTTATTATCAGTTATTGACGTATCAAAAGTTATTTCCTTTGGCAAACATTAAAACAGTTATAGGAGCAAATACATCTGCTTTTAAGATAAAACTTGACTTTGTTCAAGAGACGATTGAAGCAGCCATCAAATCTGTAAGAGTCTAATTTGCCCAGTCAATATGTAATATATGTATGTAAGATGTTATCTTGCAGGTAGGACTGGTTTAGAAGTAAACTTCATCCCGAGTTAATGTCAGTTGTTGACTTATAGAAAAATTCTTTTTTATCACATGTAATAAAGCAGGCATAAGACCAACTTATCAAAAGTTATTTCCTTTGGCAAACATTAAAACAGTTATAGGAGCAACTACATCTGCTTTTAAGATAAAATTTGACTTTGTTCAAATGACGATTGAAGCAGCCATTAAATCTGTAAGAGTCTAATTTGCCCAGTCAATATGTAATATATGTATGCAAGATGTTATCTTGCAGGTAGGACTGGTTTAGAAGTAAACGTCATCCCGAGTTAATGTCAGTTGTTGATTTATAGAAAAATTCTTTTTTATCACATGTAATAAAGCAGGCATAAGACCAACAAAATCTGTTTTTAAGGTAAACGTAACTTTTGTGTAAGAAACGGTTGTAGCAGTCATAAAACATATAAGAAATATAATTTTGACCAGTCATAATGTAATATATGTAGTTGCGATAAGTCAGATACTGCAAAACAGTATACGCTATATAGTAATTTTTTCAGATAAGACAAAAACGCAGAATAACCAATTTATCAAACAAATATTGATTTCTGATTTTATATAGAAAATGTGATAGTCATTATCTTTATATTGATGAATAAAAAATCCCTAGCTCAGTGATATTCATACTTCTTTGTTTATTTTGTTATTTATCTCATATTAGAAACGTAAGATAAGACAATTTTGATTATCATAGTTCAGCATTTTCCTGTTTTTTTCTTGCTGCAAGTAAACCAATGAGATCCGATCTTTTTTTTCTCGGTAACACACCAATACTTATTACTGTTGGTAGATGCACACGGATTTGTGGTACAAAAATTCACCGGACCACAACTCATAGGATCAGACTTTGTCGCACAAAGCGCATGCCCGGCTTGAGTTATAGCGGAATTATACGCTGCATGTTCTATTGCTCCGGGTATTTTTGAAGCTTTCCATCTTTGGTCGTGACCAGAATCATCTAATGTGTTATAATGATGATACGTTTTTCCACCTGATGTATATGTCTGATCTACAACACCGTCTAATGAATTTGGGAATCCGGCATGACTTATTCTGTTCATTATCGTATATGCAACCTCTAGCTGTCCTTTTGCTGATTCCCCACTTGCTTCACCAAACACAACACGCCCAACCTTTTCCTTGTAGGCAGTAGTGCTACAATACAATTGTATTTCCTACATTTAGTGACAAAATATGTATAGCATCATTCTGATAATACACAGACAACATTTCTGCATTGTATCCGTCAAATTTTGATTATCAGCACTTTTAATTTTACAAAAAGTTATTACATTTTATCATTCGATATCTTCTTATCTATTACTTATTGATCAATACATCTTTACATGTATATCTATGTACAGATACCGATTAACATGAAATTATTATACTGTTCAAGTATGATTGCATAAGTAATTCATTGTAATGAGTTTTAAGTTAAACATTTCATGGCAAAAAATTTTTGTGAAAAAAATACCAAACTTCAAAATAAATTTTAAAAAAGGGAACTCTAAAAAAATCAAACGTTAACCTATATAAACCAATTGATCGAATGGAAAAAAAAGTCACGATTCTGACTTGATACAGGCATTCTCCGAATGGAAATTGAATTGGTTATGAAAACACAACTACAATCAGTAGACAAGGATTTTTATGTATCTGATTCATCAAAGTTAGGCTCTTTTCCCGTATATTGTTTAGCATTATGAACTGAATTTAAAAAAAAAACAAAAAAAAAAAAACAAAAAAATCATCTTGATTGTTTTCACTCGCTATAATGATTGATTAAGCAATTTAAATAAGGGAAACAAGAAACAATCAATTTGCATGTTTAAGTTATCAAACAACAAATAAACTAACTATTTGTATTTCTAATTAGAAGAGAAAGATATATTTTAGAGGTTATTTTGAGAAAAAAAGATATGAATATGTTAACGCGGTCGATTCATTCTAAAAATGACACATCAATTTATTCCGTTAAATAACATTTGTTACACATAAGTTCTCTATTAATTATGTGTAAAATAGAATCCAGAATATTTTCACTTAGGGATTTTCACTTAAGTATTTTTTACGTTTTCGTGTTGGGTGCCTTTCCACTCAGCACTGAAATAAAACTTCACAGGCAACATTTGACATGACACACTAAGATAACTAGGTATTCAAGAAAACTTAATGTGTCTTTAATCCTAGACGAACATTCGTTAACCAAAATATGCAATACAGATCTATTATCCCCCGTATATATGCTTAAAACATGTTAAAACCTTTAAACAAAGTAATATTTTCAAAAACATCAATTAAATAATTTAGGTTTCAGCAAGTTGTAATTTCAAATACCTTGTCCAACAAGTACTAGAAAATAACATTTTGAAACAAGTTCATTATGATTATTGCTAGTTTAATGTCCAGTGGTAAATATATTGTGGTACCTTATGAATACAAAAAAAAACAAAACACACATGGATTCGTGATGCAAGCATAGCAGGAGACGCTTACCCAGTCGACGCACCAAGTCTTGCTCCTTTTATAGTTCATGTGATTCCTTCAGGGTTTTGTTTGTTTACTTGATTTGTCTCTTCTCAATCCATTTGCGAGATCTTAACATCGAACTCCAAAATAAATTTAAAAAGGGAAGTGTATCAAAAGGAAACTGCTGCTGCCTTAATTTAACAGCAAATCCATAAGAAGCGTCCTGTAAAATTGGTATGGACTTTGATATTTAGCCTTTCAAGATGTCATCTTAATACCAATCACATAATTGAAAGAGTTGTTTTACTTCAAAAGACCAAGGTATCATTTATACTAGAAGCATCTGCTTGAAAATGCCTTTTCCGAAAGGCCGTGGGTGCGTATTAAAATTTCGCAAAACCGAATGAGTGTCCCTCGTCTATGTCCTCTTGTCGAATAGAGGAGTCAAGGTTAACATATTTGTTTACCACGAAAAATGTAACTTACCATAATGAAGCATCAATGTCATGAACAGTCACAAAAATGAGTAGACAGGTCAATAAGTGTTTCATGGTAACAGATGGTGATCACAGTTGTATATGTATGGTAGTTGCACTGCTAAAAGAGTATGTCGGTCGTTTCCTTCAATTAAAAAAGTGATACCAAAATTTAAGATACATGAATTTAAAACAAATAGGCAAACACAGAGTTCACCTACTGTGTTGCTTTTAATTTCTTTTGTTAGATATGTAAATTTAAGCATTTCGATTATAAGTCACTTGAAAAAATTCATTTTCATAATTTATTCTTTGAATAAAATTTCCTAATTGTTTATGTTTATGAAAGAATTACTTTTTCCAAACAATTTCAAACAATTCCAGTAACCATTACATATTAGACAACAAAAGATATGGAAAAACAAACACAACTAGGTGCTCCGGAAGAGTAAGCAGATCTTGCTCTAAACACAACATTTGCATTAAATAATGGACATTAAAACATTCTGGGCACGCGCATCACTGAATAATATTTATTGTCGAAATGCGCATCTGGTGCATTGAAATTGGTACTGTCTATGTTTTTGGCGCTGCTATGATATTATGTTATCGAAAAATTATTTTCTCTATATATTTAAAATCTTGTAAATTTTACATATTTGTTTCAATTTAAGGAATTTTAAAAGAAAGAAAAAAAGGTACCAAAAAAAAAAGATATACAAACTCATAAGTTGAAAATAAATCTTTGTTTTACTTTTCAGGTTTAATAACTTTTTATCATAGCTGAAGGCCTGTTTTTAACGAAATTGAAATATTAAAATAGATATATATTGCACGCAGATGATGTTACTTACTTTTAAATATAGCAAGCTCTGTCCACAAATGATTTTCTAGTTATCAATTTAGGTTTTTGTATTTCAAATGAATTAAATTCAATCATTGACTCGTAGGTTATTGGTCAACATTATCCATATGTTTCATATTTCAATAACAATTATCAAAGTACGCCTTTAGATTACTTGATAAATCATTACACGTACATCATCCCGACATCATGTACTTGTACTATTTGTTCACCTGTCTATGATTTAATGAAAAGTTCTACCAATGCTTGACTTAGTCGTTAACATGAGAAATTTTCTTTTATGAACCAATGAACCAAAACACAATTATTTTGTGTCTGATGAATAAAAAATGGTTTATTGTTTTTATATGGGAATACCCTAAAATAAAATTTATTTTTATTTCTTAATTAAAAGTTTTGTTATATGTATTGTTACTTTCAATGAATTGTCAATGATAGCGGAATATCGAATGTTTTCTTCAGCAAACAGTTTTTCAATTACTTGAGGATATTATTTGTGGTTTTTTCATTAAGAAAAAAAAAATGCCTTTTCGAAATCTTAAATAGACATTTGTAATGCAATTTTACTAAAGTTTCCTGAAAGAGATTTTGCCTTGTGCTGCGCCATGAGATGGTTTCGAAATAGTAAAACGCATACAGGGTGGTGATATCTAACCGCTGTGTCGTTCAAGAACGACATCATGCGAATCAGTAATACAGCTGTAAACAACATATGTCAGTATTTTCATATCCCGTCAATTTATCTAGTACGTGATTGCCCTGAAACTCTGGAAAGTACACCAAGGGTGACGCTGGAACTTTGCTTGCAGCAAGACAAAACCAGACGTCACGTAGCTCGCGTATGCATTAACTTTTTAAACTGCACCTAGTTATTGTTCTTCAATGGCTACCATTGCGACCGAATGTTTCGCTTGTCTAGCGTTAATGGGCTTAACTTGAAGACATGACAATGACAGCCCGATTGATCAATAAACTAAAATGATAGTTGCGTCGAAGATAGAAAGTTGTAATTGCGTCAAAAAGGGGCGATACCAGCTAGATCGCTAAAAGCCCAGTAGTCAGCACTTCTGTGTTGACATTGATATGATCATAAGTATACATTAACTGGTTATAAATCTTTGAATTTTCCGAAGTATTAAGGATTTTCTACCCCGGGAATAAATTACCTTAGCTGTATTTGGCAAAACCTTTCGGAATTGTGGGTTCCCAATGCTTTTCATTATGCTTTATTAATTCGAGCGTCACTGATGAGTCTTTTGTTGACAGAAACGCCTGGCGTACACAATCTTAATGCTGGTATCTATGATGAGTTTATGACATTGCAAATTGGAACTGTCATCTGTCTGGTTTTATTTTTTGTACATCTTCATATTTCATCATGTTTGCCGTATTGTTGATGATCAATTGTGCTAAAGTTATCTATTTACTTTGACTTTTTGTAAAATTATTGTTTTTCTAAAGTCAGGTATTTTTTCTATTGTTATCAGCTTGAAAAAAATTCAATATAGTTTCGATTTTCAAATATTTTAACATCGCGCATCACAGAAGAAACATAGATTGTCGCAAAGCGCTTCTGGTGCAGTAAATTGAGGCCGTTGATGTTAATATTACCACATGGTTGACACCTCTGTTAAGAGTACCAACAGTATAATAGCCAGTACTTCGATATTGACAGGAAGATACGGATATTGATTTTATTGATTTTTGCTGTTTTAGAAATAAGGAATGCGTACCTTTCATTAATAGATCTGATTTCTTGTCCGGGGTTGGCTATACTTTTGGTCCTATTTGTTTTTATCAGCTTTTGTTTTAAAAAAAGTTGAATTTTCAAATATATTGGCCTAAAGTAATATAGTAAACTAGGTAAATTGACTGAAATCAAAGAAAATCAGGTGTTTTTGCTGGGTTCGAATCGCAACCTCGAAATTACTATCATATCATTAACAGTTTCCTATTTTATGTAGTGGTAGCAATAACTCTTATGTAAAGTTTAGAATAAATAAAGGGATCTATATCAAATCAAACGGGAAATAAAAGAATAATTCCAACAGGCTAGGTTAATATTTGTCTGAAGGAGTTTGAACCTTACTCATGCATAATGACGTTTTGATTATTGTCAAAATTTAAGTTCACTTCGATTTATACTATTATTGCATAACATCTGTTGAGCAATGACGACACCTATTAAGTTTGTAACTTTTATGTTATTTTGAAGCTTTTCACCGCGAATAAGATAGATTGATATGACCTCTGACAGCGTTTGTTACTTACTTCTGCTTGTTTACATACTAATTCTGAATTAACAATAAAACAAGTGCGTTTTACTTTAGGAAAGTTAACTTTAATAACAATGTATTTCTACAATACAAACACTTTTTTCATTCCAGGGAGGCGGTAATGGTAGCCTTTTCCTTAATTCCTCTGCCCATATTTGTAAACTTGGATATATAATGGCTCGTTTCGAAGCTGAGACATTTTTTTAAGCATGTGGGGTTAAATTTTCTGGGTACGGAGTGAGATTAACTTTTCCGTAATTAAGCATCTCCGAAAAGCCTTTTGAGATGTGGCTGCTCGATGTAAACAATCCTGTGCATACATTGAATAACTCCATAGTTTTACACCTTTATTCTATGGTTCACTGCTCTCCAAATCAACACAAACGGTTAAGCTCAGTCACTTGTAAAAAAAATTGAAACATGTCCAATATCATTGCACAGAGATTTTTTCTTATTTAACGCACTACTTTTGAGTTCCTTACTTTGAGCCGCATTAAGAATATTGACCCATATATGGCACCACTCAATTTATGAAGGCGATACACTCTGTAATTGTTTTACAACTCTCATTATGTTACGACTGTCATACAAGTGAGAGGTTTAGCTGGCTGTGAGGCCGGGCTTGGTTCACCATTTTCTACCTAAGGAAATGCCTGTGCCGAGTCGGGTTGTGGCGGTTGTTTTTCGTTCGTTTAATGTGTTTGAGCTTTTGATTTTGCCGTTTGATAAGGGACTTTCTTTTTTGAATTTTCCTTGGAGTTCGGTATTGTTGATATTTTACTTTTTTCAAATAAAGATTTGAAGAGCAGTGATACTAGAACGCTTATAATGACATATTCATAAAGCTATGACAATGCTGACAAATACCTCAAAAGGAGCCACAACATTGTCATTCTGATCAAAAATAAAACTTACTAATAAAAAATGCGTTGTATACGGTGAAATATAGCCAACAATAGTTTTTTTTTACTAAAATTAAACTTACTTAGTTTTAATCACTACTGACCAGAAATACGTTTTCGAAATGTGAGTACGATGGATCAAATTAGAATTATTTTCTAATCATTTTGTATAGCCACCACTGGGATGAAAATTACTACTAATCATGAGTGAATGCAAATTCTCGAAGACAACACTATCCTGATAGTCTGCGCTATGGTGTGGTATTGTTCTAAATTCAAACTTATATATTATTCGACATATCAAAAGACGTTGTGCTCGGACGTTATCGTCTAGATTTTTAAAAATTCACTTTGAAGGTTAAATTCTAGTAATAATCGTTTACTGCGGAGCTGAAAGGTTTTAAAAGCCAATTAGTGATATAATTTGACATTGATTTTACAGGATTAAATGATTTTACCGGTCGATTTAAACCAACTAATTATAGAAGTTGTTGCATTTTATCAACAGCTATCATATATAAACAATAGCCACAGATTCCAAATGAACCTAATTCACAATTTACAATTTAAGTTCAACTATGGCCTGGAATTGGTTGCAAAAATTTGATATTTTTAATTTAAATGCAATATTTTTTATTTAATTGGTATATTTCTTCATTTAAATGCAATATTTTTTTTATTTAAATGGTATATTTCTTCATTTAAATGCAATATTTTTTATTCAAATGGTATAATTTTTCATTTAAATGGTATATTTTTTCATTTAAATGCAATATTTTTTATTCAAACGGTATAATTTGTCATTCAAATGCAATATTTTTTATTCAATTGGTATAAATTGTCATTTTAATGCAATATTTTTTATTCAATTGGTATAGTAGTTTTTTTTATTTATATGCAATAATTGCATTACGGGAAATTCTTTGACGTCACAAGGTCAAATTTGCCACAACGTTTGTGATTGGTCAATAATTGTTTGGATTTCTTCCCTTTCTTTCTAAACATGAGTGACCAAGAATTAAAAAAACGCGTCGGAATATCACCCCTCTAACTAAGTCTGGCGTACGTGTGAGTTCGTACACTGGCTGTTAATGCCAATAAT